CCATAATCGGGGATGCACCGATATATCGGTCGCCAAAACATATCGGCTGAAAATGGCGCTGCTGTGTGTCTCTGCGGGGAGGAGAGAAACTGTCACAGGGGGCCGAGCGCTGTGGGAGGAGAGCGCTGTGAGCGGCCAGCGTCTCTCCTCCCCGCACCACTCAGCTTCCTGTCACAGATCAGGAGAGCGGCGGTGTACGGCGAGACAGCCAGAGCTTTCACAGGAGGCAGGTCGGTGATGCGGTGGGAGGAGAGCTCGATCTGACAGCTGACTCCTCCCCCGCACCACTCGTTCAGCCTCCTGTGACAGCTGTCAGGAAGGAGAGCGGGTACAAACACTCAGTGATAAGCTGATCGCTGAGTGTTTGTAAATAATTGAGGACAGAGTATGGTTACTATATCCTCAATTATCCCCAAAGCCTCTAAAAGTAAAGTAAAAAATTAAAATATTTAATAAAAATGAATAAATAAATGTAAAAAATGTAAAAGTTTATAAAAAATGAATAAAAATATTTTAAAAAAGGTAAAAAGTTAGAGAAAAATAGTTTTCAGTTTCGGCCCAACATTTTTTTTTTATTTCGGTTTCGTTTTAGTTTTAAAATTTTCATTTGAGTGCACCTCTTATCATAACTACTATCATGACTACTGCAACTCGCTCCTCATTGGCCTACCTCTACATAGGCTATCCCCCCCTTCAGTGTATCTTGAATGTTGCTGTTAGACTCATCCACCTAACCAACCGCTCAGTGTCTGCAACCCCCCTCTGCCAATCCCTCCACTGGCTTTCAGTCACCCAAAGGTTTACATTCAAAATAATAACAACCACTTAAAAGCCATCTTTAACTCTGCCCCCGGCTATATCTCCAACCGGGTCTCAAAAGTATCACCCTAACCTCCTCTCCCCTCCTCCCAAGACCTCCTGCTCTCTAGCTCTCTCATCAACTCTTCCCATAGTCACCTCCAGGACTCTAGAGTCTCTCCCTTCCTTTGGAACTTCCAACCCCAACCTGCCCGGCTATCTCCAACTCTGCCTATAGGCAATCCCTGCCTACTCTGCCTTTAGGCAAATCCCTATTTTCAGGGAAGCCTATCCCACCTCAAAATAATCACTGATCTATCACTTTTTTAAACAATCCATCCCCACACAGCTACAACTTCTTATATCACTTGCCCCTCCCTTTTAGATTGTAAACTCTCATAGACAGGGCCCTCCTTACATCTTGTCTTGATTTGTATTGTAACTGTAATGTCTTCCTTATATTGTAAAGCAACACAGTCAAAGTGCACAGGGCTCCTGTTTGTTATGAATCCAAAGCTTTAGTTCACCAAGCCACTCTAGTGCTGAAAATCTCCTAGTGCGAGTAAATTGGTATTGTCATAAGAGGTTTAATGTTCTCAATTCTGACCAATGTAGGTCCTTTGCAGAGAGGGTAAGGGAATATGCAAAACCATAATAAGTTTAATCACTACAAAAATGAAAACTTCATATAACAATCATAATTTTATCAGATACAGCACCCTGTAAAAGTATGCAAAATCTTGACCCACCCCTGTTGAATATGCAATGCATTTTAAAGGGGGACCCCATGCAAAAAAGTGGCGTTCCGCATTCAGGAGCCCCCTTTCACATAGGAAGTCTCTTCACATTAGAGTCACTCCTTTAAATTAGAGCCCCCCTTTCAATTAAGAGCCCCCCTTTCACATCAGAGTATTAATATCACATCAAAAACTGCAGCTACGCAGCATGGCAGAGGGTGGGAGGCAGGTGTGGGTGGAGGCAAATTTACAACTTTTTCTAAATGGATCCTGCCCTCCCTGGATTACTATTATTTGTTTTCATGGTGCTGACCACTGGCCTGCCTGCATCAAGGAAAGGCATGGCGCCGTGCAAACTTTTTAGGGCACCTCCTAAAGGAAGCCAGCAGGCAACCTTGTTGGGAAAGTCTGGTTTTATTTATATATATATATACACATATATAGTATACAAAAGAGAGAGAGAATTTAGGGGTGTTTCCATGCTTCATTAGTTTAATTAGTGCAGCTTTTAATTTTGGTGGTCCTTCCTCAATCTCTTCTGGTTAGGCTAGTAGAAAGCCTCTGCTATGTCGCTGCTCTCATCCTGCCCATCTGCCTGCTGTCACCACTTAAAGGAGAACTATGAGGTGAGTGCTTTTCACTCACCTCATAGTTCTAGCCGACCTGTGACAATGAGACTGTCACAGGTCGGCTTAGTAGATCGGGAGGTGAGCGAACACATACTGGGTTCGCTCGCCTCTCGATCCTGTCACGGCTCTCTGCCGTGACAGGGGGAGGGGCTGGATTCCCCTCTCCCCGCTCCGATCTGACTGGCAGAACGGACGGGGTAGTGGGCGGGTACAGCTGGCTCTGCCTCTAGATAGGCAGATCCAGCTGTCACTCATGCAGCTGGGCGGATCCCGTCATCTAAGTCGGGATCCGCTCCGGCTGCGGCGTCTCAGTATACTGCGAGCTGTAGCTCGCGGTATACTGAGCTTAGGGTAACGGGAGGACGCTAGTTTGTGTCCTCCCGTTACCCTAAGGAGAACTATGGGGAAAAACACTGACCCCATAGTTCTCCTTTAAGACCAATTCTTACAGAAATGTAAAAGGTGCAGCAGATGAAATAATGGATTAGAATAAAGACTCATAAAGACATGTTCACAGAGATCAAGCATTGTTTTGGTTCCCAAGTACATGTCTATGAAGAAATATATTTTGTGTATAAAACCAAGCTGGTATATCTAGCTAATACATAATATCTCTAAGTTCCTATGTTCACCAGTTTATAATAGTGATTAGGATATCTGCAGAGGTACAAAGAATGAAAGTAAATTACTTCCAAAAGAGTACTTCAGCCAAGATAATACTGGAAAACATATATAGTTCAGTGCTTGCTAGATAATTAGAAGCTGTACATCCGTAGGGTGCTATTGTAGTCTGGAATGCAGTTTCATCTATTGCATGATAAATATTACAATAAATAACATCTTTTACTTATCTTGGGGCTTGCAGAAATGTTGTTCCAGGATTTGTATAAATCTGGTACAAACAATAAACCTGCATCTCACATATTGCACTAGTTTAAACAATATCCTGTTTTGGATTTCTTCAGTATTTCTCATACTGCTTTTTAGAGACTTCTGGGCATAACAGCAATCAAACAGATTAGATAGTAATTGGACATACACAGATGATCCGGGTATTGAATGTTTTCATATTAACAATATTTGTTCATATACCTGCTCATAACAAACACATATGCAGTTTGTCTTTCATTGGGGGAATAATAGCTTATCAGCCGAAATAATCTAACACAGCCAATGAATGACAAAAGTATTTGTGAAAAAAAAAGCAGCTAACATAAGCAAACTTATACTTTCAGCCACAGTGGGGGTATGAGTCTCTGCATGCTCTGTCTGCCCAAAAGGGTATAGGATCAGCTAGACCAGTGGTTCTCAACCTGTGTAACCTCAGGACCCACATGTGTCCTCGATCATTAGGTCACGACCCAAGTCGCACTACAATGGAACGCACGGCAGTGTGGGCTGCTGTGCTGTGATGGAGCTCCATCCATATGTGCATTGCTTGTACAGCACGCGCGCTCTATAGAGGTGACGGGAGCCAGAATGTGATGTCACTCCGGTCCAGGCCATGCAAGGGAGCTATAATCAATGCACATATGGCTGGAGCTCCCTAGCGGGCATACCCCCAGCCCACCTCCCCTCAAGTCAACACTCAGAGCCAGGCAGCATATTTTGAATGGCTGCTCAGTGTAAGAATGGACAGTGTTGTGCTAGGGGGAGGCCGGGAGCTTCTCCCCTAGAAAAGTCGAAGGCATGTGGCGACTGAACACAGGGTCGCGACCCACTTTTGGGTCACGACCCACCAGTTGAGAACCAAGGAGCTAGACAGTCATATGGTTGGACTGAAGATCTATTGGTCACTAATGAACATTCAGGGAAATAGATATCATGCTGCCCTAGGCACAATTATCACAATTTTTTAATGTTGAGTCTTGGTGCTGCCCTATTTAAACCTTTCTGCCCTTGGTACTAGCTCAAGAATGTCATATGGTAAACACAGCCATGTATATGTGGGCACCTAAGGGTTAAGGATGTGAACAGAGCCATGCATTCCTACCAGTTTGACACCTCTGAGAGGATATATGAGTAATGGTAAGGAGATTTATAAAACATAAAAGCTATGCAGCCAAGGAAGAAAAGCAGTACTGTATAGAAGATGAAATTACCAATACACATTTCTAGTGTATTAGTATTCTACCTTATTACAAACAATAGGGTTGGTTTAGTAGAGGCTGCTCTCTTCCATGAGGATGTTCACTTACCACATTAAACAAGCTGAGGCTTTTTTTTACTTAAATACCTAATAATATGCAAGGAAAATGTTTTTAAAAACAGGAATTTTGCTTACACTAAATAGGAAGAATAAACTAAACATTAACTTTGTAAAATGAACATGCTGTATTGGCCTACGCAGTAATAGCTATGTTCAACAGTGGCAATTAGTAACTTATGAACCTTCAGAAGCTGTAGCATGCCCCTTCACTGCTGCAGCTTCAGGTGAGTGTGACCTCTTTGTGCACCCACAATTAACTACCTACTTTCAAGCCAATGCCATTCCTTTAGGATCTAGCCAGTAATTTCAACTGCCTTGAATAATTAGGGAATGTGTGCTAATTTCTGAAGATTTGACATGCTCCCAAATCAAGATGGTGTGGTTTGGAGCTCATTCCTTTTTTAACCCCTTCATGACTGAGCTTGTTTTTAGTTTCTGTTCGTAAATGACTGACACACTTTTGACATTTTTGCTGTGTGATTCTTCCACTCATCACATGCACGCAATGCTAGCCTGTTGCATAGTTTCCATTACGCCTGAATCACAGTTTCTGGTTGATAATAGTTAGTTGTTCAGGGAACAAACAGGACACACAATGCAGTGTTGAGGATTTCAAATGTTTTTTACCTGATTTGTAAACACTGCGTAGACAAGAAAGGGAGGCATTTAACCGATCACATTCTTCGCTGCTAGCACCAAACTTCCCCAGTGTTTCGCAAACCAGTTCATCAGTCATGTCTAACAGGTCTTCCAGTGAGAGCTGCCCAGGATCAATTACCTAAAACAAAATAAGATGTTATTAATCCTCCTGTGTAGCAAGGGCTAAATGTGCTCCAGTAGACTTATGGAATCCGCATGTATTTTTGAAAGATCTGTATTTAATTACCATAGTAAGTATGCATGTTGAAATTGCTGACCTGCCTTTAACATACATCTGCCTGTTATTAATGTTGCCATAATACATCAATATACCTCTCAACTGTCCTACACTTGGAGGGACTGTCCCTCTTTTGAAATTTTACAAATACCTCTGTCACTCATCCCTCCTCATTTGCCGCTTTTTTGGGTTTTATCTATAACTCTCTATATTTTGAATTAAACTAACAAAAGTGTTATACAACACTATCAGAGTTATTCACAAAAGGGTGAAGAGTTTGGAGAAGTGATCAATCTAGGACAACATAGCTGAACTAGAAAGTGAGCTAAAATGGAGAATGTTTCCAAATCAGCTATTTTGGCCTAGATTGTTCAATTCTCCTGGTGTCCAAACTCTGCACGCTTTTGTGAATAAGCCTGTATATATTTCATCCATCCTCCGCATTTATTACTTTTAGAAGCCATTATAAAGGAAAAGTAGTCATGGAAAATTTGCACTTGCAGATTTAACCAATCATTTTTGGTTTATTAACTCTTCATCATCCAGTTAAAAGCTGTGTGGCAGGGTTTGTTCTTTGCCTATATACTTGCTGTTAAAGGTGTTCCTCTTTCTCATCTCACTATGTTGGAGGCTATGTACTTCATTAGCAAAAAGTTTCACCTGAGGTTACTGACTATAAGTACATCTTAACCAAAAAATGGATAAATACAAAAATTGACTTTTTGCAATTTTTAGAATAATAATCCATCAGAGATGATAAGCACAAATAAATATAGTAAATACAAAAATTAACAAAGTAATTCAAAGGCTACTGACTTTATAACTGGAGAAAAGAGGCTGCACATTTACATTAAGGTTGCCATCCTCCACCAGCCTTAGGCAACAAAGCAATGCAATTCAGTATCCCTAAGGGCTTATCCCACGACAGTAGGCTGGTGAATAATTAACTACTGCATAATTAACCACTCCAGAGGGACTTATTAACAATATATCCCTGCGTTAAATACCGGATACTTGGCGATGAACCCTTTTCAATAACGTTGTACATGAATGATCCTCAAAGGATAAATACTGGAGCTTGAGCACTGTGCTAGTTATACTTAAATTACACATATTGCTGTGGGTGCTTCTGAGTCTCTTCCTGTACGGCATGTTCAATAAATCTAAGCTAAGTCTGAACGTAGTGCAGCTGGAGTTAGGAAACAGGCCCAGAATTAATAAACTCAGCTTCCTCCAGTGTATCTTTAGCCAGCTGAACTTTAGGCTACAGCTAAATATGCAGCTGTAATCCACATATGGAAGCTGTCCTATCTGCCATAAGATTTGTATTTGTCCAGCCAGTTATTGAGATTTACATAGCCAAGTGGTTGTCCTAACTTTTCTCTTCTGCAGTTAAAGTACAACATTGTCAATTCTCTGCCCCCATCCTATGGTTGAACAGTGAAGAACAGCAGATGACAAATTGGCACATCACTCTTCTCTCTTAGCATGTTCTTAGCCAGTACACTTGTATTGATTTAAAACAACCCAAGTCGTGTTATGTAATACTTTAAAGATCACTCACGCTAAATAGGAACTATTGCTTTGACTACTGTACAATATGTAAACAAGCAAAAAAATAGAGAGATAGAACAGATTTCTGTTACTTTAGTCACTGACATCAAGTTTTACACAAGATCTGTACAATATCAATCTCAACAGGCTACACTGCCCAAATGCCTATACTAGCTGCATTTTATAGGGAAGGAGGCCACTCTTATGATTTGTTCTATTTATAACATTGGCAGCAGGTCCCATATTTACTGGACAAGCTGGGAAAAGAGGGAATAAGGCAACTTGGAAGTGGAAACTGTTGTTTGTGTCCTGGCACCCCTTGGATACACCAAATCAAGCCTGCTGGTGCTAAAAGCATGTAGCCTGCCAGTTCTGGAACTATATTCCATTTGTATCCCCTGTCCCATCTGTCTATGACTACTGTCAACTCAGTATTCAGTATTCAACTCAGTACCTCTGAGGTATGGTTTTCCAAATTTGTCAGCAGTGATTAAAAGGTTTAGAGAGCATGCATAAGAGGTGCTGGGACCACATTTAATTCAATTTCACATGGAGGGCATAGTCTATGATGTTGAGCTCAATTGCCCCGGCTAGGCAAATGTGAAGGGCCCTAGAAAAGGACCTCAAGCAAGATTCAGAAGTTGGAAAAACCATGAGCACCATAATCATAGATTTAGAAATTCAGAATTATTATCCAGAAATATTTAGTTCATAATATTAAAAGAGAATTCAGAGAAAATAAAATAGGCTTCAGTAGCTGGTTAGTTTGGTTGCTTAGTTAACTTCACTGCTTTAGATGAAGGGACTTATTTTACTTCTGAACTCACCAAACTCCTGATATTTTTATTCCAATCAGCAGTACCCACAGATGAAGTGGGTACTACACACAACCCCTGAAACATGTTGGCTTGCTTACCCTGGATTTGTATTATGAAATAAAAATATCTGGACTCTAAATCCTTTGGTTTGGTGCTGTTGTTTCTGCCAACTCCTTGCTGTGCACCAGAGGACATCTTTCACTGCTCCAGGAACTGCTATTCAAATGTTGCTGAACTACAATATTGTTAACAAGGCTTCACTTGTATCGTTGTACCTTTCTCTCTATTTGAATTACATAGTCTAATGGTTATAATAAATAATCTGCCTCGATTTAAAAATCAAAGCAGTTTCCTGATATATCAAACCGCAGTGAGCTGTGGCAGTTTAAATAATATAACATATTATTTTTATTGCAATTTTTATTCAAATGATAACATCCCTATATACAGTTGTAATGGAATTTGCATCCATTACTTACCCTGTAAAAAGCTAGTAAAAAATATAATAAGATATAATCCCAAATGGTTTAATAAACAACCCTCCCTCAGCAAGTGGCTACATCTTAATTGCATTATTCTATAACATCTATAAATAATAGCAAGGTTATACGTAGAAAAATGGTTAAATAATGGTATCTTGTACACCTCAAAGAGCGACTTTGCCCAGCAATTGAGTGTCTCCCAAAACATTTAAAGTAGTATTAAAGGCAGGGCATTTTTTACCTTAAAGTGAAATTAAAGATTCATTTTTTTATTTTTTTTTCATAAATTGAATGCACATACTTGTAAAAATCATTTGTTGTTTTAATAAAAAATGTTCCGTTCCTCATTTTCTAGTGAGTCCCTGCATAGCTCTTCCACCCGCCCTCTGCACGGGTGCCACCATCAGCTAAGTGGCTGCTGTGGAAGCACCCATTCGTGCTCGTTCCTGGTCGTGCCCGCAAGTGGCTGTGTGCATCAATAGACACACAAAGCACTGGGGCAGACCACGCCCCTCCTCTCCACCCAACAGGTTGATTGAAAGCAGAAGGAGCCAATGGCTCCTCTATCCTCAACCGCCACCCCCGCAACCAGAAAGTTCAGGACGGACGATCGCTTTGAGGACCGGCGGCAGTAACAAGTGGCACTAACAGGTAAGTGCTGGGGACACAGAAAGATACTGGGCATGTTTTACCTTAATGCATATAATGTATTAAGGTAAAAAATGCATAGACCTTAGAAATTCTTTATTGCATTCTCTGCATTAAGGTAAAAAATGCCCAGTACCTTTCTCTGCCCCCCCCCCCCCAATATGCGGAGACCCATTAGAAAACAAGGATATTAAACTTTTTTTTAAATAAAAACAGAGCTGCATCTGGGTCAGGCAGAGCTCATACAAGTTCTGTGGGTCTAATAATTACTTTTGCTCTGGAAAGAAACTGTACCATTTCATGTGTGGAATGGCTGAAATTCTTTGGTCACACTGCTGAAAGTCCCTGTTTAGGCACTTCCTGTTGTCAGGTGACAACAATATGTTCCTGTCCCCAAACTGTGCTCCTGGGCTGACATCTACTAATCTATTAATATTGCAACACAGAGGCTCAGACTGCAGAAAATAGGAAAGGGAAGGAAAGCTTATTTCTATGCAAAGTACCCAGTGTGTTGACATAGCTGATAAATAAACAGGCATTGCAGTTTTTGGATCCCCTGACCTTTCCTATTGTACCATCTGCCCTCGCTATGTAGCAGCCATTAGAAGTATGATTTTTTTTTTATTGCTCTCACATTAAATATTTGCCACAGCTACCTTCTGTAATCATTCGTAGAACTCTACAATACCATTAAATTAGCATGAGATAAAACGCAGGAACAGATAGTTATTTTTTTTTACAACAATTCTCCATTTGCCGCTAAATATAATTCATGGTAAGATTTTACTTTTCGCCTACAAAACGTTGAGTAACGAGAATGTTGCCCACACACAAATATGACCTGCGTACACCTTCTCTGCCTACACACACTCATTCTTAATACAAACTTCAGGCTTTAATAGAAAAGGCTTGGACGCTTGGACACTTCCGCGCCTTACGCCCACGTATCTGAATACGTTTGTTACAATATTTAACAGTATCTTCTCCTGCTGTTGGTTAACCCATTCATGATGGTGAGCTTCTTTAGAGTGGAAGTGTTTAATTTTCATCTTTATATAAGGGTAACATGGCATCCTGAGAGACAGTTAAACCCTAGATCTTAAATCTCCCTATCCTCATAAAACTTCAGATATGTCATTCACATCTATGCAACCACAGAGATATAAAGCACATTGGTGTTAATTGCTTGCTGAAAGCATCTGCTTTATGATAATTCTCAAAGGTGCCACACCACTTAAGTTGTTTCTATATTACTCAGTGGTATCCCTGCATTATTTTACATTTTGTTTATGAGGAATATATGAAAGTGACTGAGTGACTGAGCGTATGTAATCCCAGTAATCCCAATCCAACTGTGCAGGGTTATAACAAGAAATTATTCATGAGCAGTAAACTTTCT